TATACGGCAAAAAGTCTATTAATCGGCGGTTGACTTCTGACTTCAAACTACCATGACCCCACTGTATGTTATATTCGACTACTTCCAAGGTACTCAGCTCACCTTTTTTCTACCTTTGTGTCCGTCTGTCTCTTTTACGTCCGTGAATCATTATTCTATCCCCCTCTCGACTTTTTGCCACTTTGATGTTCCTCTTCCTTTCTGTGAAGCCCGAAGTCAACTAAAGGGCTAATGATACACCTATCACAACGCCTGCCATTTGAAATAAATAATTCTACAGTATTTGGTATTCACTACAATGATCAGTAAACACAAAGTCTCGTTTTCTTTCTCATATCCACTGATCTGTGCATACTGTTAAAGGTAATATGCTGGCCACCTCAATTATTGAAAGTGTCAAAAAACACGACTTCGTTAGAGAAAACATATGCTGAAGCTTCTATCATGAGAAACCATAGCACTCTCATTTTGTCCGGTAAATTAGTATGGTCGACCAATGAACAGGTTTGAGTGCCTTCATCACTGTGTACAGGCAACACATATTTTAAGTCATATTAGGTAAAATATTAGATAAAATAGGAAAATAATGAAATTAAAATAAAGAGATAAAAAATTCACTTGAAGAGGCTTGTCCACATGACTGTATAATCATCTTGAATTAGACCACATGAAGGTTCATCATTGGAATCGAAGCCCTTGAGTAGATGTTTCGGATGGATTGCTCTACCGGTTGTATCCAATTGAGCACAGTAGATTTCAGTTCTTGAGTAGGGCATGAGTTGGCGACGTTGGATCCAACAGAGTCGGCCAGCTGTATTGCTACTTCCTGTCATGTCATCGGTTACTGCAAGGCTGATAGAGATTGGGGCACCAGCTACGCGGGTAATCTCATCGACCTTCTCGGGGTCAGCCATTGAGATGACCTTGATCACGCTCTCTCTAGCTCCGGATTCGCTCTCCTCCATTTGGGCATAATAGACCAATCTAATTGGAAAGGAAGTACAATGGTATCATATGAAAGTGGTTCAAAACAAACGGCCCTATTAGGCAAGAAACTTCCATTCAAACTTGCCATCAACAATTTTCAATAAATTGAAACTCACGATAGGCCAGGATGAACAGCGATGCCACCAGCAGCAAATCCGATATCTGGTCTCCGATCAGCGAGTTTCTTTAGTGTGTAAACTTGATTGGGTTTTTCAGGATTCACAACAACAATACGTCCTTGTTCGTCGTCAATGGCGAAGATATTTCCAGATGCCGGGTCCACAGCAATCCACGTGAATTTGGCGAAGTTGTCGCGGTAGATGAGCTCTGGTGGTTGATTCAGTCGAGACTTGCTAGCATTACCGAATCGGATGGCATGCCCAAGGTCACTGGTGTAGATCAATCGATCTGTTTTGCAGTCCAATGTGATGGCTATTCGTTTGTGCTTGCTATTTTCAGCTACAAAAGTAAAGCCAAAATTAGTGGGATGAGTAATAAGTGTCCTCAGCAATAAAGTGAGAGATTTATGGAGATTTGAAACATACTCAAATAATTTTGAGGAATTAACCATTATTAGCTCATCATCAAATTATAACCTCATAGTATAATACTCCTCAAGTATTCTGAAAGGATCTGATTCATGCTCAGAAGATCACCATCTAGCTGCTAAAAGAAGAGACTTAAGGATCTTCAATGTAAACTATAACAATGACTCATCTCAATTTCTACAATCTACTCCACAAAAATATATATGGAATGGAGATAGAAAACGTAAATGTATACGTAGTGTGATCAGCAGTAATGAATACATCTCTATAGCAACTCACCGATGTGCCAGATCTGAGCAGCCACAGTTGGTTCATCCTGGGTTTGAACTGTGAGGATACCATTGTCACTAGTAAGGAATAGCTGTTTCGTTTGAGCTACAAGAAACAAGTCTCGATTAACAAGTTTGCTCTCAATAGTTGCTATGGGACAAGTTATGAGCACGTATACTCACTTTGTTGTCTTGATTCTACAATAACATTCACTGTGTCCGATACTCTCGACGCTTGGCAGACATAAATGCCAGAGTTTTCAGCCACTGGTTGATCAATAGTGAGCCACAACTCACGTCCTTCATGAGTAACCTGCTCAATAGTACGGCCAACATCTTGTGGGGTTAACCACCGAGCTTGTAGATTGTGGACATCTCCAGAGAGCACACATTTTAATGTCAAAGCTCCAGATCCCTCACGCACTCGAATGGTCTTGCTATCTTTAACAATTCTCAGAGAGAATGGACCTGAATAATAAATGAAATTATTTTCAGTCATTCTCTGATGAGGAATGTCAGGGGAAATGATGGACAAGATGCTTACCCTGACTAGTTGCCGGTCTGCACATGCGAATACCGTCACCGGTGTAACCTTGTGGACAGACGCACTGACTAGACTCTGGTACACATTTAGCTTCAGCAAGACACTGGCTGCAATCAAAGTCACAATAAGTGTAGCCATTTCCAACATAGCCAGATCGACACCTGCAGCGTCCATCGTACTCATCACAAGTGGCAAATCGATGACAAGGGACACGACATTGAGCCTGATCAGTACGATTGGCGACGGAACCCGAGATACAGGCAATAGCACCATCTCCAAGGTAACCCTCGTCGCAGACGCATCGAAAGTGTTGAATTTTACGATCATAGGTGCATTGAGCATTGACAGCGCACTCGGAATGACCGCGACACTCCTTGCAGTAGTTTTCACGACCGCTGTTGAAACCCGACATGCAACGACATTTACCATTGGAACAGCCCGCAATTGAGGTTGACATACCACGGCAGTCGCATAGGTTAGCTTAAATAAATAAATAAAGGGTTTGACATCTTTCACATGTGTAAGAGCTGTTTTTTCGTCACTCAACTGTCGTGCCTATAGAATTACCAACAAATAGAAATTTCTTCAAATTCGCCTACAGTCTAATTTCCCTTAAACTGTGCATTCTCCATTAATGAGCATGACTAACATCCGCATTCAAGCACAAAGCAACTTCAAGATATCCCTAAGATAAATAAGCCACATAACCACGTGGTGCAATCTGGGCAATTGACTTCTCACTTCAAACTACCATCACTCCCACTGTATGTCATTGTCGACTTCTTCCACAATACTTACCTCACCTTCTTCTGGGTCTGTCTCCATTTTTTCACTTTGATTTTCCTTCCCCTCTGTAAAGCCTAAAGTCAACTAAAGGGCTAATGATAACTATCAAAGTGCCTGCCACTTGAAATAAATAAATAAATATTTTCTAATACATTTAAGATAAACACCTTCGTATCACTTTGCAATTAATTAAATATCAATAACCGGTTTTGTTTAAACGTACAATGAAGGCTTTAATTGAATCTATATGCACAATGACCTTTACCTGTAAGGATGGTCTATAATAGTACCTATTCTTCCTAATTTCTGGATAATTTAAGAGGCAATAAATATAATGGGGGATGTTTATTTTACGTTCACTTTTAACCAGCGTGGATCTGAACCGATGATGCACCCCAAAAGTATCTAGCGTTTGATTGCCGTTGTGCAATTAGTGATAACTCCACAACCATTGGTAGATACTCACCCATCATTTTTATGAATCAATCGCGTTTCAAGTTAGCTAACATTTCTTAACAATCAAATAGATAATTTCCAACAGTAGGAAAAAAACATAAAGGCGCAAACAAGAAGGACCTAGCTTACCAGGATCCTTGGGCCAACAGTCAATGAAGCCGTCACCTTCGAAACCGGCGTTGCAATGACACTGCCCCTCAGAGCAAGTTGCATTAGTATGACAAGCGAGGTTGGCACAAAGGTCAGAAGAACCTGAGGAACCTAGTGCGAGGAAAATAATAATTCAAGAGGAGCTTAGTTCCTCTTGGAATTTATTTAAACTATAAGCACAGACCAACTGCGAGTAGCAAACCCTTTTAAAAAGACCTTGAAAGGGATCGCTCAACGCAAATCAATTAAAACAACATAGAATGACTTAAAAGAAGTTTTGCCACAAACCAAAAGAGAGTTTTAATCAGTAAGGTAGACAACAGTCACATTGAAACTGTCTATTTTTTGAAGGCTGTGAGCTGTTCACTTACCCCATTCAGGATAGCATATCTGGTTCGGATCACCAATATAACCATGGCGACATTGGCATCGTCTCTTTGAACAATAAGCGTTGACACCACAACGAATTCCAATGCAGGAGGCTAGAACACATCGAATAAGGCACATTAATGCCCTGTAGGGTACTTATTCGAATGGTAACCAGAATTTTAGCTACATGGTTAAGACATGCTTCCCGCAAACAGCAAGCAAACTTCTTAAATGTGGTGGTGTTGGGGGGGGGGGGGTGGTTGGATAAAATTAATTTCTCAATTCACCAGTATTTACTTATTTGCAATGAGGTTCAAGTTACAAAATTAGATTCAATAACTTATCTAAAAACCCATGAATAGTGCCCAAGCTCTTCCTTAAAATAGAAAAATACTCATTCTGAAAACTAGAAATCGAGTAAAGAAACTGACATACGAATTCATCCTTTGGTTCTATTACACTAGCCTTTGGTATAATGAGCATATTTCTAAGTAGGCGTCAATCAGAACTCGCAGCAAAACAAAAGTAGAGAAGTGAAGAAGTAAAAGACAAAACTTGCCATCGTAGATGGGTTTACACGCGAGGTTAGGTTCTCCCTCAAATCCCTCGTAACATACACACACGCCATTCTGGCAGTAGGCATTCGAACCGCACTCCACACCATGGCAGTTGTCTACAAAGAATGCGAAAAAGTAAACGAAACTCCACCTCAACATTGAAACCATTGGATTAAATAGTAGCTCACCCGGAAGTGGTCTCTCTCGAGTGCAGATATCGTAGGCGTCACCAGTGTAGCCTGGAGCGCACACACATTGGCCATCTCTGCATTGGGCATTTGCTCCGCAATACCTTCCATTGCATGATCCTTGTAAAATTTAATTTGAAATATTAGGGGTACCAATAAAAATACCTGCAATTTATAATCAGAGGTGGGGGGGGGG